TGGGAAAAGTTTTTTGATGATGCTGCATTTACTGTTGTTTCCTACTCCTTTGCCTTCCCTTATAATGCATATCTCCTTGTTGGAATCTATTCAGATGACACTTATACGGGTGTCATTATTACCAAGCTAGCAGAGTTATTAAACCATGTTCTTATATTTCCACATTTTTTTACTCCCAAACTTTCATTCATCTGTACCTGCTCTGGCACAGTGTTTGACTCAGAATTCAAAAGCTCATATATGATTTTAAAATTTATTGTATTCCATTTTAGCATCTTCAGAACGGTTTCCTTGGTTCAGAAATGTTGAACAAAATGTGTGTTGATATGTAAGACTTTTATTTCAAATATTTGAGAAAATATATAATGATAGTGATGACTTAGAGAAATTTTTGAGGAACTACATTAATCCTAATGAGAATTTACCAATTTGCAGTCAAGTATAAGAATTTAAGCTAAAATTTAGTGTTAGCTTTAAAAATCTTTACAAATGAAGAGTCTTCTTTCAGCAAATATTTATCATTAGCATTATTTGATTTTTTGTTCTCACTAAACTACTTAAATCAGTGTCCTTTCCCCTCAAATCCCATTATGATGCATTTAATTACTCTCAGAAAACCTATATAGTTTTGGTTCAGGCATAAATGCAAATTCAGTGTGTTGTGGATTTCTAGAGAACCTAATAATAGCATTGCCCTGAAAACTGACTTGTGGGGCAATTTATTGAAGCCTCTTTGGTATTATTCCCTGCATCTTAATGATATCAAATAGATAGTGAATGTACTTGGCAATTTTTCTTATCAGAGTATTTTTTTTTAAAGTTGGGTGTTCTTAAGAGGTTGATGAATAGCAGACAGAATCAGCTGATTCCTGTCCCCTGACTTAATGAAAGATATACCTTAGTGGAAATCTAATTCCAGCCTATAGGATAGATACGCACATACCATAATTTTTATATAACTGTTCTCTTACCTGTATGATGACCTCTTTCAGGACATGGCCACATGTGTCCTCTGTTACTAAGCTCCAATTCATGCCAGTACCTTGTGCATAGTGCATTTTGCATGTTTATTGTGGTTGATGATCATTTCCTCTGATTAACCTCGGAAATTTAGAGCCTATCAGTGTCATGTCTGTTTAACTACTCACATTCCAGTTGATACCCTTTTCCCTTGGTGGTGGAGCAATGATTATCCTCATGTTTCATAGGTCCATGTTTTCAACTAGGGATGAAGTTCTCCACAGCAGGAACAATCATGATTAACCTAAGTCAATCATGGTGATTCTGCTAATTTCCAGGGATTCTACTAAGCATGGATCTGTGAAGAACTGCTAGTCAGACAGACATTGAGGGAAGTCTGCTAGGATTCTGGGGAAAAATGCCTTGATCTTATAAAGATAGGGAGAGAAGAAAAATCTTTGTTCTTTCTGGTTGTTTTCTGTCATCCTGCCTGTTCATACCTATGACAACAGTAGCCACCTTAGAAGATCATGATGTGAGCCAAGGTCAGAGCCAACTTATGGAAACATCCTTAAGGCAGATGGCAAGATAGAAGGAACAAGGATTTTCAAGCCACTGGATCAACCAACCCTATTGTTTTAATTCTCTTTAGTGTACCTACAAATTTCAGCAGAATGAAAAAATCTTTAATAGTTGGCTGTTAAAGGGCTTCCCCGATGGCGCAGCGGGTTGAGCACAGTGCTGTGAAGATGTCTGCAGCCTCTGCAGTGCTGGTTCGAATCCTGGCTGGGGAGAAACCCACATGGCTTGGCAGACCTCTCCTGCCTCACCCGCTGCTCCCCTCAGCAGTGTATTTCAGTAAATCTGCCTGTTCTGCTCCCCGCTCTGTCTCTGGTGAATCCTCTCACCCTCCCGCACATCTGGCCTGTACCCCTGTTCTTGTATAAATAAATAAATCTTAAAAAAAATACTTGACTGTTAAAAAGAAAGTCTATGTATTAATGGTCTGAAAGATTGTAGTAGTTTCAGTCAGCCAGTCTCCCCACCCCCTTCCTATTCATCCTTGCCCCAGAATAGAAGATTTTAGATCTGGTTCTCATAAAATGGGTGTGGTCTGTAGTCAGGCTTCATGAACTAACAGGCCATTTGTGTGGGTCTCCTCTATTTCTGTTCCACAGAAAACTGGGAAATGAATATGGGTTGAGAGCACCATCTATGATATATTTACTGCCAATTTAAAAGTTCACACCATGATCAGAGCTCAGACCTAATTGTCCACCACAGACCAGATGAGTTTGGGGCTGGTGCCTCCTCCCAAGGCTTTTCTGTTGGAGCAGGGTCTCGTAAACTTAGTAGTGCTACTCTGGGCCAGATAGTTATTGTGAAGGGATGTCATATGCATATGAGAATGCTTGCAACACCTCTGGCTACCTACCAGAGGCTAGTAGTTCTCCCAATTGTGTCTACCAAAAATGACTCCAGAAATAGCCAAATGTCCCTTGGAAGCAAAAATTGTCCCTGACTTGAGAACCACTGTGTTAGAGGTAATGGATTATTTCTCCTATGTGTATTTTAAGTCTCAAATGGTAGAAAGAGGGAGTTCCAACTACCATTATCATTAAGCACTTCATTTTATAGGGAGACAAATACAATGAATTAATTTTTCAAATTGGTCATTTCAACCTTAAAAGGAGCTTCTAGAGGTACATTTTGAGCTCAAATATGATTACTGTTTAAACTCTGTACCCTGAAAAATCAGCAAAATAAAAAAGTGGAGGTAGAGCTACGTTTTTAAAATATTCTATTGTCAAATGTTAAATAATCACAAATTTAACAAAGAGTCTTTAATATGATGTTAAGTTGTCTTCTTAGTAAGATTTCACTTTGTCAGTGTTAATAGAGTCAGCCAGGAGTTGACACTCCATTTGAACCTTGTAAAAGTCTATGTGTAATGACAGGACAGATGTGAACAGAATAAAGCCTAAACAAAATTACATAAATGGCACATGTTGATTTGTTCCAATTTTATTTTTAATAGCAAATATTAACAAAAACACTATGGGTCAGGAAGTACAGTTAAATGCTTTTGAGAAAATGATGGGTTTCTCTCCCAGCTTGCCCATAATCTAACTTAATGTACAGATTTTTATAATGTTCACCTGAAACTTATCTAATGCTATAATGTTACTTCAATAAAAATTGTAATTTTAAAAATCACTATGCTATAAACATTTTTTTAAAGATTTATTTATTTATACAAGAACCGGGGTACAGGCCAGATGCATGGGAGGGTGAGAGGATTCACCAGAGACAGAGCAGGGAACAGAACAGGCAGACTGACAAAATACACTGCTGAAGGGAGCAGCAGGAGTGACAGGAGAGGTCTGCTGCACCATGTGGGACCCTCACCGGCTGGCTGGGATTGAATCGGCGCTGCAGGGGCTGCGGACAGCTTCACAGCGCTGAGCTCAACCGCCTGCACCACCAGGGGAGGCCTGCTATAAACATTTAAAGAACTAAAAAATAAGATTTTTTTTTAAATGTTCATTTCCATTTTGTACTCTGAGAAACAGGGTTCTGTCTTTTTGTATCCACGGGACTTCATGACCTGCCTGTTACATAGCAGATGCCCTATAAATAGTAATAAATAGTGGAAATTTTGCCAGTTAACTCCCTAAAATATACTTTCTATAAAGATTTAAAATAAAACTAGCAAGCATTAAGGTGTCTTTAACATAGTAAAGATGCTGTAGCTTGCAGCAATAAAGTAAAACAGTGATTTGCGATAGTCATCCTTTTCTTGCCACTGCTACCCCTTCCATTACCAGTTGGTTGTTAATTCAACCTTGAAGGTAACTTGGTCTCGTCTGTTTATCTGCTTCTTAAGAGTCCAAGTCACTGTGGTCTTTTGCTAATAAGCCCATCTCTCCAATACTTTTCCTGCCACCCATTTCCACTTATAGCTGCCAATGTGCACATTTTAAAAAGTGAATATCTTGAAACATGTTTAGCTCACCTTCCCAGCTTCAGTCTGTTTCCCTTGTTCCAGGAACATAATTCAGAATCCTCAATCTAATATTCATGATCCTGAGTGCTTGAGTGTTTTTTGCATCTGTCACCCTCCCTTCTCATTTTCTTAGGTTCCTATTCTTTCAACTTCTTGGATGTGCCATGTTACTTCCTTTGTAAGGCATTGAAAGTGCTGTTTTCACTGCCTGAAGTCTTCTTACCTCACTCTTTGCTTGGATGATTCTCATTTATCTTTCAAATCTCACTTTCTTTGAGAGCAGTGCCTGGAGCCCTAATCTAAAGTTGGCTTCCCTTTACATTTATTCTTTCCCTCCATGCACAGTGCTTTCCCTTCAGAGTCCTTTTTGTAAACTTGCAGTTATACTTTAGACATTTGTTTAAAATCTACCCTTTCTAGATAATAAGGTCCACCGAGTAGGCTCATGCCTAATTTCTTCAATGTACAATCCATGCTTAGCATTTGCCTTAATATGTAGTAAGTTCTTAGCAATTCTTTAAGCAAATAAAGTTGAATTTGCCTTGCAAGATGGCAATGTATCAGGTTAATATAATACATATACATTATATATTACATTGTCCTTGTGTTGAATCTTTAGGCCTGGGATAAGTATTTAATATTGAAAGAGAAGGACAATGATTTATTCCTGCTTTCCATTAAGTGGCACGCCGCGAAGCTAAGGATCATATGAGAACTGACCACAAGCAGCTACATGCACTAATATATGAATGATTTCTGCTTTGCCTTTCTGATAGAAAAGCAATGAGTGTAAAGTGGTTAGGCTGCTCTTTCATCTGTCTATATGTAGGAAAGAAGCTCAGGGATTTAAGAAAAAATCTTACCTGTTTATTGCTTTAAAGGTTATTCAAATTCTTATCTACCTTAAGTCATTGCTTAGTAGCTTTTTGGCCAATAGGATTTCAGTTTGCAGTACACTAATATAAACCCTTGGATTGGTTTAGCTACCTCTGATGTCACAATTTCCCCATTAAGAAGTCATAATTCTCTTGAAATCACATTGTACTAATAACAACTCTTATTATTTTGTTTCATCATAAGAAAGATAATCCTCCAAAAATAAATATGCTGGGAGGAGCAAGGTACCTTTGATCCACTTAGACCTTTTCCATTTCTGTGCTTTAATTATTGCCAACAATTGAAGCTAACGGCTTTGCCTTCTTTTACAGTGGATGTTTTGTTTTTCATGTCTGTCAGTTAATAGGCAGATGGAGGAATGAGCCTACTTAGAATTACTCCTTCAACTCACAGTTGTGTTTCATCTCGACTGTGGACACTCAGCATCTTTCTACTGCTTAGCCTTCCTGATGCTAAAGGAAAAGCCATTTGGACAGCCCACCTGAACATAACTTTTCAGGTGGGAAATCGGATCATATCAGAATTAGGGGAGAGTGGAGTGTTCGGGAATCATTCTCCTCTGGAAAGAGTGTCTGGTGTGGTGGTGCTCCCTGAGAGATGGAATCAGAATGCGTGTAATCCCATGACCAACTTCAGCCGACCCAAACAGGCAGACTCATGGTTGGCCCTCATTGAACGAGGAGGCTGTACTTTTACGCATAAAATCAATGTGGCTGCAGAGAAAGGAGCAAATGGCGTGATCATATATAACTACCCAGGTACGGGCAACAAAGTCTTTCCTATGTCTCACCAGGGAACAGAAAACATAGTGGCAGTGATGATAGGCAACTTGAAAGGCATGGAACTTTTGCGCTTGATTCAGAAAGGAATCTACGTGACCATCATCATTGAGGTGGGGCGGATGCACATGCCCTGGCTGAGTCATTATATCATGTCTCTGTTTACCTTCCTGGCCGCCACCATCGCCTACCTTTTCTTGTACTGTGCCTGGAGACCGCGAATGCGCGACTCCTCCACTAGGAGGCGAAGACAGATCAAAGCAGATGTGAAGAAAGCTATTAGCCAGCTTCAACTGCGAGTGCTCAAAGAAGGAGACAAGGAACTGGAGCCAAACGAAGACAATTGTGTCGTTTGCTTTGACATGTACAAGCCCCAGGATGTAGTGCGTATACTAACATGCAAACATTTCTTCCACAAGGCGTGCATTGACCCCTGGCTTTTAGCTCATAGGACCTGCCCCATGTGCAAGAGTGATATTTTGAAAACTTAAAAATAAATCCAGAGTATCTTCTGAAGATTCTGAAGTCTTTTCCAAGATAAAAATAAGATGAATTCTCTTCTAGCACGCTACGTAGAGAGAAAATTCAACTTCAGCTTCTATATACAAGTACTAAAGAGGGTGAAATTCGTGTTTTTAAAATAAAACTTCATACCATGGCCAGCTATTTGAACTTGTTTTTCTATTAAGTTTTAATGGTTATGTTTTTACTCTTATTCAAATAAGGACTTAGCATTTGTTACAATTTGTCTATCCAGGTTACAATGATTGTGGCATGGCTTCCACAGAGAACTAGGATATTTTGAAGTTTCTTTTTAATTATGAATTTTCATTGTTTTCATATTTTGTTTAATTTTTGATATCTAATAATATCTCTGCTGAATTAACTTCATTATAGGATTAGATCTTGATTTAATTATCCATGGTTAATTGATTTTACTAATATCCAGGAAATCTGGTTTCCAGAGCTACAGACTTGAGTAGGTAATGGTATGCTAAATAATTAGATGATAGCACTTTTGATTATGTAACTAAAAATATTTTAAATCATTATAGGTCTCCTTTGAGGCCACATTGCAGAATCTGACCTTTGCTTGCCAGAGCCGCTTGTAGCCTATGAGTTGGTTGTGGTAGCAGAATTCTCTTATAGAAGCACCCCTAGAATATGCTTTCTTTTTCTTACCACAATCTTGGTGTGTGTCCTGTGGGGATATTTTGATACTGTAGAACATACTGAGTTGAAATATTCTTCAATTATCTTTCTGAATGGGACCCCTGGTCTTTCTTTGCCTCTTCCTCTTTCCTAAAAGATGAGTAAACACCTGTGTAACAATGAAGGCCTGGAAACATTTGGGTTTTTGTTTTGATGAAAATGTCTGTTGATGAGGTACTAAATGATTGATGTCCAACTCAGATGGTAATTTGTAAGTCTACATGCTGTATGCTATGTTGTCTGTATGAATAGGTTATGTGGAAATAAAATCAGATGAATGGTCTTTGTTAAAGGAAATCCTCCGAATGACCTTTGAAAAGGAAAATCAGACATTGTGAGTTAAAGGTATCACATCGTACTTATTTTTTATGCCACTTTTTGTTGGGCCAGTGAGTGCCTGTTTCTCCTCCTCTTTTCTGACTCAAGTTTTGATATTGATTCACATCAAACAGCTCCCTTAGTTCTGGTGAAACTCAACCACATAGCACACTTTCCTTAGGTCCAAATCCTTGACTTGGTTTCTTAGCTGGTGAATAAGAAACACTTGACAGATAACCCCAAGAAAGTGTTCACGTCATTCTTTTGCTTTGAAGTCATCGTGCCATTGACATGAGTGCAGCAAAAATATAGGCAGAGTTGTGTGTGGAATCTTCCATGTGGAATGCAGAGTTTGGCAAACATTTTGTTTAAAGCATGACCTTTAATAGTTGCTGCTATCAGTGATGAACTTTAAGTGGGACTTTCAAGTTTTTCTCTTTATAATCTATAGCTACATTTTTGTTTTAAATGAATTGCTCTAAACCAGTATTGCTATATTTAATCTTTCCCCCTATACCTTTCCTTTTCTTCTCTGAAAATATTGTTGGATTAATAACAGATGTCAAGGTCTGGAGTAAGAAATGAGATTTGTCTTCTCATTCCTGATATCCCTATGTGTAGTTAGAGTGAGAAAGTGAGACTGCAGTAATTTAACACATTACCCTACTTTTAAAAAATAAATCAAAACTAAACCGAACCATCAAACTTCTGAGCAAGCTTTACTAAATTCAATACAGTGGTTTACATAATTAGTCAATTCATACTGTGACCATATCCGAACTTAAAATGGATCATTTGGTCATAATACTTATTTTTAATCATTTTTTTTAAAACTTGACATTTTATTGAAATTACTTTCTTTACTTTCTGTGAATAAAAATAACATGGTTTTCTCGTACATACTTTCAGATTTTAAAATGCATGTGTTATTTGAATTTCGTATGTAAATTTTAGCTTGTTATACTTGTTAACATTACTCATCGTTCAGGAATTGGTTGCATCTTATAACATCACAGAAATCACCCATAACAACATTTGAAACTTCTAAGCCAATAAATGTACAGCCTGCAGTGAGCTCTTACCTAATTGGCTGCACTCTCCTCTATGTCACAATCACATCACCCAGCACTAAGCAGAGTCTAGAAATACAGTAGGGAGACTGGAATTTTTTTTCAACTAAAGTTTTTCTCTTTCTCTCTCTAATAAAACATCTAAAACCCATAAGACACCTTTAAGAACTTCTTACCAAAAAATGCTGAAAGACAGTGGAAATTGTTTTCACCCAGAAGATTTTCTTCTTGTTATTTGAAATTGATGGTCAACAGATGTGGCAACCGCATCTCTTTGTTGGGTTCTTCCTTCAGTCACTAGGCAAAGAGAGAGATGAATCTCCTCAAGGTTGGCACTCAGAGAAACAGCACTGTAGCTTGTTGGCTTCTGAAGTTGAGTTTCCTCTGGCTTCTTAGTCAGAGCTCTTGCAGAGCTGGCGCGGTTTGGACTGCGTATATGAACATATCATTTCACGCTTATAATCGCGTGCATTCAGAGCTGGGGGAGACTGGAGTGTTTGGAAGAAGCTCCGCTTTGAAGAGAGTCGTCGGAGTGATTGTGCCACCAGGGGGGAATATTCAAAATGCATGTAGTCCCAACACCAGTTTCAACAGATCGAAGATCTCAGAGGCATGGCTAGCACTTGTTGAACGGGGAGGTTGTACCTTCACGCAGAAAATTAAGGTGGCCATTGCGAAGGGGGCCAGTGGCGTGATCATCTATAACTTTGCTGGAACCGGCAAACAGGTTTTCCCCATCTCACATCAGGCCTTTGAAGACATCGTGGTGGTGATGATTAGCAACCTAGAAGGCAAGCAGATTTTGACTTTAATTCAGATGGGTGTTCACGTGACAGTCGTGGTTGAGGTGGGGAGAAGACACATCCTCTGGATGAATCACTATTTTGCCTCTTTTGTGATTGTCACAACTGCTACCATAGCATATTTCATCTTTTACCATATTCGAAGATTTTGGGTAGCAAGGATTCAGAACAGGAGATGGCAGCAACTGACAGTAGATCTCAAGAAAGCATTCAACCAGCTCCAGCTTCGGGTACTGAAAGAGGGGGATGTGGAAGTAAATCCAAACGGTGATAGCTGTGTCATTTGTTTTGAGCTCTACCAGCCTAATGATATGGTTCGCATTCTGACTTGTAAACACTTTTTCCACAAGAGTTGCATTGACCCCTGGATTTTAGAACATGGGACATGTCCCATGTGCAAATGTGATATTCTTAAAGCTTTGGGGATTAAAGTGGATGTTGAACATGGAACTGTACCTTTGCAACTTCTGATGTCGAATGAATTACCTGGGACCTTGTTACCTAGTGAAGAGGGGACAAATCATGATCTTCCTCCTGCCGGACGATCTGATAAAGTGACTCATTTGGAGAAGGAGGAGGAGCAGAAGACTTCTCAGGATTACAACCAGCCTAATTCAGTTGCAGAAGTTCATCCTTCACCTTGGCAGCATGACCTTTGAGGAAGTGGATTAAACCTGTTTGTCAAATCAGGTCCTATACTGACAAACAGTTTGTTTGAAGTGTCGTTTTTGTGTCCTTCTTTGATATTTTAGTAATTTTCTACATTTATTGTCAACCCTCAAAGACAAAAAAAAAGTCTAGCAGGATTTTTTTTTTAACCTTTGCTACATGTCATTTTTTTTAATCAGTGTTTATTCCTCCTGTGAGTATGTATTTTTGTACACACATGCATATTAAAACCAAAGACAAGCTTTTCCCCTAATTGTTTTTTGTACATATATTGGTTTATATTTTTGGTAAAAACTTGTTAAAATATTTCCATGTTCCTTATAATAGAGAAACTTGCATTAACTTTGAAAAACGTAAATGTTCTTATGTGCTAGGAAAAGTAAAATTTACTCACTATAGTATTTATATATGTAATATACTAACTTTAAGTCATTGTGCTGTTTTGTTTTCCTCATTCTTGCCATGAAAATTTTGCTGTACAGGATCCCATTACTCTTGCTTTTAAACAGTCTGTTCAAGCAGTTTTTGGTATGTTTGTTATCTGCATATGCATAGTCATAGCAATTTTGGTGTTTTTTTTTTTTAAAGATTATTTATGCATACAAGAACTGGGGTACAGGCCAGAGGTGTGGAAGGTGAGAGGATTCACGAGTGACAGAGTGGGGAACAGAACAGGTGGATTGACTGAAATACACTGCTGAGAGGAGCAGCGGGCGAGACAGGAGAGGTCTGCTGCACCATATGGGTTGCTCCCTGGCCAGCCGGAGGATCGATCTTGCACTGCAGTGGCTTCAGATTGCCTCATAGGTTGCATCTTAAACCCTTGCGCAACCAAGGAGGCCTCAAGTCATAGCAATTTTGAAAGTAAAGTGCAAGTTTAAGTGAAGAGTGCATATTTTAGTGTCCAGTATTACCCATAATTGTTAATAATCTTTATAAAGACTTAAATGATAAAGAATTCCTATGACATCTCATTCATGGGATATTTATTTTTTCTTTATTCCACCCATCTCCCCAATTTATCTTTTGCCATGAAATAAAATGTTGAAAGTATGCCAGATTATTTTGGAGGTAAATATCAGTGTAGAAGTTATTACGATGCCAGTTTAGAGTTGTTTGTTTTGTTCACTATATTCCCAGAACCTAGCAAAATGCCAGCACACTATTTTTGAATGAATAAATGAATGATAACTACCTTTTACATAATGTGGCTATGACGTGTTAATTAGAAAAGCTGCGGAGTTTATCCCTGTGATATACAATACTGGGAACTGAAATTTTTCATCCTAAATCACTTTGACAAAATATAAAATTAACTTTTACCTAGAATTTACCATTACAATTTAGTATGCATGATTTAATAAGGAACCTGGCACTCTTCCAGACAGTGAATTTCTGTGCAACCTTAGAGTTCTGTTGAGGAATTTTGTGAGTTGTTCAGGGCTGATGATACTGGGATTCAGAGATGGAGGGATGGTAGTAGTGGTTCTAACCAAGCAAGACTATTTAGAGGACGAGGGATGCCCATTGAAGAGCAGGAGGGTCAGGACACAACAACTGGGCAGATGGCCAAGTGGGTGTGATGTCTGCTTGGTACACACAGACTTCGCCGCCAGCCCTGGGGAGGTATTGACTCAGTTATCACAGGAGCTGCTCCTTGGAAGAACCCCCAGAGCATGAGGGCTCCTGGAGGATTAAGCAGGGACACTGAACAACTTTGTGAGTTTACCCTGGGAAAGCAAAATCATTCCCTGAGGGACCAGTGGTCACATTGGAGAGAGAGGACATTGAGGACCCTATGACAGCTATTCCTGGTGGAATCTGCTCCTAAGCCAGGATAAGCTGTCCTGCTTAGACTGGCCACTTTGGTATCCCTAGCAGCTAAAGTGGAATGACTTCTGCTCGTTGCCCAAGAGTCGTCAGCCATTGAAGTGAATCCATCTGGCGGTGCTGGCAATCCCCAGCCCAGCATCCTGGGATCATTGCAGCAAATCCATGTGGGTACACGATTGACCTCGGCCTGGTCACTTGGTCTTCACGCTGACACTGTGTCCTGTTTTTTTTCTTCCTCTACACATTCTTTGGTATCTTTTCCTGTCCTTTGTTCATCATTATCCACCTTAGACCTGAGTTACCCTCACATGGAAGATATTAGTATATATGCATTTTTATAATTAGGTGGGCAATTAACAGTGTGCTTATTGTCTTGATTTGAGAATTTCCAGTGGATGTTTTCCAAAGGGTGTTTAGAATCTATGAGGCAGGGAAGGAACAGGCAAGTGCATGAGCTGGGGAAATATCCTAACCGAGCATCTACCAGGGAGCAGGCAGAGGACCCAGTACTTCCCAGAGCTGTTTCTTATGTCAGAACAAAGCAGCACTTTTAATCCTTGTCTTTACAATGTTGTAAACAGATCAATAAACTTCTTTTACTCTGGGTTTAATAACCAGGTTCTGGAAATAGCTTCACTGTGTTGAGTGTTAGATATTATTCATTGTGGTAGACTTTTACCTATTCCGTGGGCTATGCCATTTTCTTTTATATCCAGTGATGTTACTATATTTTACCATAATGATATGGGACTGAAATGTTAGTTATTTGACTCTAATACCAGTGGCATCATGGATTTCCATTTGTATATATTTTTGCTTTCTCTGATAAAAAAATTTTGATTTTCTCCCTATCCCTTTCTGTCCCCTTACAGAGTAGGGGGTGGATGTTGCTTATTAAAAATAAGCTTTTTTTCTCTGTTGCTAGGATAAATTAGGCTTAATCTTGAAATAATTCTGAAACATTTTAGCCCTGATTGGGCAATGCTCTAGGTAGAACTATGCATCAACTTCAGTGTACACTACACTGTTTCTTACTGTAGAATTATTACAAAGTAATTTGTTCTTTGTTGTTGGAAAATGTCTATAGAATACTAGCTGGCACTTTTCCTTCAGCACCCCTCTCCCTGCCCCAACTGACAAGTTTTGTTATTTTATCATTGGTTTCCCGTGAATGGGAGTTTTGTGTTTTCTTTTGTAATCATTGTTTTCTCATGAGGTGATGTGATTGTCCTTTGGAGAGATGTTGGCCAGCCATTTTGTTGGCAAAAATGTACATTCTACAAAGGGTTTACTGAGCCAGGGATCTGGCATTTTGATTTTAGCTGAGTGTCCAATTAGTGTTCTCTTCTACAAATTCACTAGTTTTAAAGGAGCGTATAAGAAACAAGAGGGGTGGGAGGGTGGGGATCAGATTTTGGAGAAGTGATGAAAGAAAAAGAGAAGCATTTCATGGGTTGATGTTCTGAAGGAGTAACATTTAATAATGACTCCATGTTCCTGCCCAACTACTTATTATCAGTACCAGTCTTTTGTATTTTGTTTATTTGGTTCTACATTAATTTCTTAATGTTCAGGCTTAGTGATGAAAAATAAAAATATGTTATTGCAGTTACCAGCACCGAAATACCTAAAAATATGTATCTAGTTTTTCTATATGACAAGGGCTCTTTTGGGGAGTGGGGTCATGTATGCAGAGATGAGCTGCTCCCTATGCACAGGTGTTAGTTGTCCCATCACAGTCTTTATCTCAGCTACGCCACAGCTCATAGCACCTCTCTCCATAGTCATGCTTTGGTCTTTGTTGGACCTCTTAAGCTACTGAGTTCCTTGATGATTTGATTTCCCCAGCTGCATGAACTTTCCACATCATTGCTGATCAGGGCACCTCTGTCTTCACACTCTCTACACCTGCAACAGTGAATACACTATTGTTGCCACACTCCAAGTTATGTCATCTTTGAAAGTTTCCCAGCCTACAGCATCTTTGCCAGAATTGCTCTCTTCCACTTGCACTTTGGGATACACCTCTTCCACTTGCACTTTGTTCTTGCTCCAAGCTGAGCTAACCCTTAAGCATCCATTCTCAGCCCATGTCATCTTTTCTAACCTCAGTCAAGACCCAGGAGTAAGCTGAAGTTTTATTCTACCAAGTTCCATTGAATCCTGACTACCTCGGCTTTTTCTGCAGGATTGTTTTTCTACCCCGAGTCATTCCTGCTCTGTTTTTGATACTTCCACTCCTCACTGTTGTAAAACCTGATTTCTGGTTCATTGAAATGTTTATCCAACTTCTACCAGATTGTTATTTCTGCCTAAAAATCCCTTATCAATCTCTACTCCCTCCTGTAGTCCCCATATAACACTACTTCTCAGCCGCAGCTGCACTGCACAGTCACCCAGAAAACTTGGAAAAAGTTCAGTGCCCAGACTTGCAACTACGAGCTCTGTGCTGGAACCTAGGCCTCAGAAACTTCAGTCGCTTTGGTAATTCCAGTGTGCAGACAAGGTTGAGAAGCTACACCTTGGTGCTGTTCTGAGGAGCCAATGCTTCATTCCCAGCTGCCTTCAAATTGACTTGTTTTCACTTCACTGAAAATGTTTAACTAGAAATCTAAATATTAAGATATAGTGGGTTCCATTTCATGGAGAGGAATTGATAAAGGCTCTGGACTATGAAAGAATGGGTTTCAGCTGGAGAAGCAAGCAGCATTTTAAAAAAGGAAATAACACTTGAAATGGTATCACTACCAGTTTGGGAAGAAGGGCAATTTGGATGGCGAGAACAGCGAACAGAAGTATTTTTTAAAAAGAGGTTTGAGTGTCATGTAGAATTTTGGTTAAGGATAAAGGCAGGGAATTCTGGAGGCTGTTGAAATGATAATCTTGGAGTGAAAAGTTGGAAATATAAACTAAGACTAAGGTGACTATATGGTGGGTTACCCCCAAGATCATATGCTGTTTGATGATTTCATTTGTGGAGATGAGTTTTCTATGTCATTTTTTTAGGGATCCAACTAATAACTGATGTAAATGTTCCTTATACCCATAACCTTCACCTCAGATTAGTACCACATTGGATGTAGAAGAGAGAGAGTATTGGTCAGGAAGAATTGAGTCAGGATTATTTCTTGGCCATTAAGTGAGGAAGACATACAGAGAGGTGAAGCAGACTTGGGTAGGAGTTCAAATTTGAGTATGTAGACTTTGAGGAACACAAAGGACTTGTATGTGATCACACAGCTGAAAATATTGGTGTATATTAAATAATGTAGCAAAAGGCTTGATGCATGGTAAGTACTTAATTGTAATTTAGGTACAAAAACAACCCACCATTTGTTTTTATTGATAAGTTAGTGATTCACTATTACATAACATACATTGTAACTATTATGAACCCCCTGATTTTGCAGTATCCCCACT